TTTGCAAGTTGTGAAGCATTAATGTTTTCTTTTAATAAACAGTCTTTTGTGAGATGTTGAATGTAAATGTTTTCACTGAGGAGTGCTGCGTGTGAGTGTGTTTACTTTGGCCATAGTGGCTAGCATGGTCTTTTTTGTTTACAAGTATTATTGGCTCTTTACTCCCATACTTCAGCTGACATTAACTTATTATTCATCCAGCTCATTGTGTTTTTTGCATGTCAGTAAGACTTCTATGTCAGCAATGACAGGTGCCAAATCAGTGTGTTGCTGCTGGCAGACAGGCAGACACATGTAAATTGTACTCAAATTTATTACGGTATATAGAGATTTGTAGATGAAAAATGAAGAGATGAATCCAAGATTCAAATAGGGACACATTCTGTGACGGCTGTTTTACTCATTTATTCTGCTCAAATCTCCACAGACAGCTTTGCATGGTTCCCATGACTGGGTTGCAGCAGATCAATGGGCGGTTCCTGCCAGCCCCCTTTATTTTATTTTGGACCAGGGGCTCATGGGAAAGTTATTTCCAGTCGTTTTTCTGTTACCCTCAATAAACAGTGGCAGCAGTTTGTTAACAGGTGCAATGTGGCTCGCAGCGTTTTTAAAATAGCTTTGTTTTTACCCAGAAGCTTAATATAATCATGTTTGTTTGTATTTTTAATGGTGTGTGTAGGAGTGAGGATGGCGGTTCCTTCGTTTTCTCAATGGAAAATTTATTCGCATGTAGTTTTAGTGCTGGACTGGGAAGTGCATTAATAAGGTCAATCTTTATATTTCAATATATGTCTCTGTCAGTTGTGCAAGAGGCTGGTTTGTGCTCACAGTCCAAAAAATTGCATTTTAGGTTAACCAGTCGTCTTAATTGCCTTCTTTAACGAGAGTATTAATGTATGGTTGATCTTCCTGTCTTTTGCTTAATTAGTGCAAATTTTTAAAATGCATATAAATATATATAAAATTGTTTTTATATTGAAACATTGGTTAAGATTACCAGTCATTCAGCACTCAATTACTTTTTTGAGATTCTTTTGATTAAAAAGGAAATATAAACCTTTTTTACATCTATTTAATCAATGTGCAGTACTTTGTATTGTTTTTTTTCCACATAATTTGCAAATAAATACATTATGGTTGAAACATGATAGAATATGGAGAGGTGGTACTGTAGCCTATATGGCATCTAGAGGAGGTTAGAAAACAGAATTTCAGAACCGTAACAAAGTATTTCTTAGAAACAGAAGAATTTCACTGGACTATTGGTAGCATGGTTTTATTTGTTCATTTATTTGTTATTTTTGTCTGACAACCTTATCGACTGATATCCATTGTTGTGAATGTGCACAGCAGTCTTTATAATTGGTGCTTCTGGTGAAAACATTGTTGAAGGTGGTGCTCATAAAGTGGGATCCTTAACCCTTAAAAAGCTGAGATATAGGAATTTAAGAGAAAACATCAAAAGGTTTTGTGTATGTGTAGCCTTGCTTAGTTGCCTCAGCCTGCTATTTGTTTCAGACTATAAGTTTAAGGCTAGCTCCTGAAAGAAACAATTGAAAGACTGTGGTTTCAGAGATGAATCCATAATCCAACTATAAAATGTAATGGAAAATGCTTCCTAATGAATGCATTTGTATCTGACTTACTAAAAGTGACTATTCTGACTTTTTTCACACCTACAAAAATGAAAATAAAATTCCACGCCACTCCACCAATGTGAGCAGATGAGATACATATAAAATGTAGACAAAGTCAGAGAAACATTAAGTTGGGCTTAGTCTGTGATACGGAGAAGGAATGAATGAGGAGCTGAAAGGACAGGGAGGGACGGAGAGAGAGTTGTGTCTTTGGGAGCACGGCGACCCATGCGACTCAGTCTGCCCCTCTTTGTGTTTCCCACACAGTCTGACATGAGCGGAGCTATATCCACACCATCACATTCACAAGGGCCACTGTCTGTGAACTTCCCCCTGCTTATGATTCGTAGCCCCATGAAGGGCACCATGTTTGCTTATGGTGCTGCTAAGTGATATTTACCATAACGGCTGCTTACACCGAACATAAGGCTTTTCGTTTTTCCCAATCACAGAAGGTCAAAGAGAATCCTAGCCTTCTCAAAATGATAGTGGTATTTTATCTTCCATTCGGTACTCCATCCTTAAGCATATGTTCCATCTATCCAGTCTTGATACTTTTTATTGTTCTGTTCCTCTTATGTTCTATACCAGGGGTCTTCAACATTTTCCAGACCAAGGATCCCCAAACTGATGACGAGATGGAGCAGGGACCCCCTAATTATATATATTGTATGAAATTGTGTTATATCTAACTGGTCTTATAGTTACTCTATTACAGATGGAGTAATGTAATGAAAGTACCGCCCTTAGATTATTAAAGTTTTTCTAATTCTGATTCCTGGTTGATGGGACAGGTGTTGTGGATGAAACGGTGCCCAGTTTGAAAGAGCTCCTGTGTGTCGCTGAATGTGTGCATTGATGACTGAAAGACATCTTCTGCCTCCATTTCTGTGTTTACTACAGTGTGTTAAATTAAAGACATTTTAATTAGCAGAAAAATTGCAGGGGGGAATATAAAAAAAAGTCTAATCAACCAAAACTTTCGCAACCCCCATGCAGTACCTCTGTGGACCCCCTATGGGTCATGGACCCCCTGTTGAGGACCTCCGTTCTATACAGTATGTGCTGTCTAAAGCCAGTGGATGAGAAACTGGGGTAATAATCTGATAATATAGAAGAAGAATACCCTTTTTAAATGATGTTACAGTGGAAACAGCAAATGCAGCAAATGCATTGAGGTGAGGAATTTTACTAGAAAATTTATAAAAAATAGAGACTCCTTAGTACTGAACCAGTATTCACTGTGAAGAGGTAAAATAAAACTGACAAGAATGTAAAGAAATTACAAGACAAAGCAGTGGCTGGTAGTAGGTGAGACTTTCAGGCTTAAAGAAAAGATTTTTTATAAAGTTGTCAAGGTGGGTGGAGGTTGGTTGAGGACCCAAATGCAGAGATGAGGGAGGCAGAGATAAGTACTTGCAGATTTAATTAAATCAAAAAAATCAACAGAAACAAAATCCATCAACAAAATCAAAATCCATTCTGACACAATCCCAAGTGGGGTTGCAAGACTGGTGCCTATCTCCAGCTGTCTATGGGCGAGAGGGGGGCACACCCTGGACAGGTCGCGAGTCCATTGCAGGGCAACACAGAGACAAACAAACATTCACACACACACCTAAGGAGAATTTAGAGAAGCCAATTAACCTAACAGTCATGTTTTTGGACTGTGGAAGAAAGCCGGAGTACCCGGAGAGAACCCACGCATGCTCAGGGAGAACATGCAAACTCCATGCAGAAAGACCCTGGGCTGGGAATCGAACCCGGAACGTTCTTCCTGTGCTACCGGAAGCTCCACTGAGCAGCCCAGAAACAAAATACAGGAAACCAAAAACCAGGTAAAAAATCACAAAAGGAGCCAAATAACGACAAGAAACCAACAATGAGAAACTGCAAAGGAGGTGCATATATGGGGTACTGATCAAAGAATGGGCTAAACAGCTGATATGGATCAGGTGTGGATAGAAGTAACTAGAAGGGAGCTAGGGGAAAGGAGACTGGCACAAGGGGGCAACAGAGAGTAACTGTCACAGGTAAATATAACACAAAGTGGAAAAGAAATCAAAGATCAACAAAACAGGATGACATAAACAATTGATAACTCAAAAAGAAAATCAAACAAGTCCAAAAGGGGAGAACCTTAACAAAAGAAAATTAAGTCCGATGCCAAGTCGGCCCACAGATCATACTTCTGAAGAAAATCTGGTTTCAGACAAAAAAAAAGGGTTTGGTTTTACTTCAGAAAAAAACTTAACCCTCTAGTTTACACTAATTGACCACTGGAAACTAAACAAAACAAATGTCTGTCTTGCCAGCTGCCACGGTGAGCAAAGACTGGTTGAAAAAAACATTGTAAAGAGGACATGGTTTATGTCGAAACAACATCTACATTTCATTGAAAAGTAAAAAGTAAAAAGCCGTAACTTTCAGATCGTTGAAAAGACATTGAAAACTTGGTTTGCAACATCTATTATTGGGCTAAAATGGGACAAAATCAGGACTATGACAGATCGACCAGATTTAGCCTAAAATCCAATGTCTAAATGACGTCTGGTGTTTGGGGGGCCATTTCAGCTGCAGGAGTCAGCCTGACCTCAATGCCAGCGTTAGCTGCAGCCGCATTGTAGTCAGTGTGAGTCCTTCGTAAGGGCACAACTTATTGGATTACTGTCTATAACCTAATCCATCAAATTTTCTATGTAACTTTTTTTTTTTTTTCAGCGAAGCAGGTAACTTTTCCGCTTTGAAATACAAACAACATTAATGTGTAGGATGTGCTCAAGACTTTTCTAGTTTTGCTGTCTAGCTGTTTCGCACTTAGAGTTCACTGGATGAAAACAAGTGAGTAAGAGTTTATGATGTTTGGAAAATACCAGATTTTCCGCACTGTATTTTATTTATATTTCATCAAGAAACAACAGTGCACCTTATAATCTCGAGTGTCATGTACCACACATATAAGGCACTTGAGATTATAAGGCACAGTGTCGTTTTTTTAAATAAAATATATGGTTTTTGCATGACTTGGGTAAACTACAAGGCCACAACGCTTTCAGTATTATGGTAACTGTATTGAGGAGGATGCCATGGCAGTGTGCTTCATCATAATATTACACTGTAAGTATAATGGCCCAAAAATGGCATCTGTCAAGAGACAAGCTTTCCATGTGGATTTTTAAACTCAAGGCTATCAATCACATACTAGAACTTAGGACTAGAGTAGCTGTGAAAGAATACCACATTAATTAATCTATTGTCAGAATTGGAAGAAGCATGAAGAGAATCTGAACCTTATAGTCAGGTACACTAAACCTTATATATGAAAAAAAGATTGAAAACAGACCATTCATTAACGGTGCACCTTATTATACATTGCAGAAAATACGGTCAGTACTATTTTGAAAAACCTTGGGTGCAAGATGTTCCCTCTTCTGATCCCATCTTGACTGCAGTTTGATTTCAATCCCTGGAAATGCATTTTAATTCCCATTTTCCTTCAATTGCAAACATGTTAAACAAGAAACTACAAGTTCCCTTAACTTGTCCGTGAAAACCAGACGGTTTTACTTTGCATACATTGTGTGAGACTTGCTCAAAATGTTACCACAGCCGAGACAAACAGAAATGTTGTAAACACCTACAGCTGATACCATCATGCAGAAAGAAATCTTGAGTTGTCTGGGGTGAGATTTAAATGTCAGAGTAAATAAGCCATTTAATTACGTAAACTGTTGTAGCTTTAAGACCTTTCACCAAAACATTCACTGTGCAAATAATGGATGATGTAAGATATGGTTTGGGGGATGTGTAGTGCATGTTCCATTAAGAACAGGTTGTTTATTTAAACTGTTAGTTCAAAAGTGCCTAATTGTGTGAACAGTTCCATAGTATGTAACACTTAACCATTCATTTCCCTCTAACAGCAATTCTCGAAAGCGTAGCTTGATGTTTAGTGTCGTCACCATGGTAATGCCAAATGGACATGGAATTTTGGCACAAAAGTCTTTCGTTTAGTCCCGTGCTCCCCCAGGAACTCTCGAGAACACGGACTCAGCTTGTTTCCCATCTGCAAGGGACACAAACAGAACCAGACAAAATATGTTGAGAGATGCTGCCAGAAAGGACCATCACTTAACATCGCTCCTTAACAACAACTGCTGGGACTACAGCTGGCTGTCCAGCAGGCAGTCCTGCGGTCACTATCCCAGAATTTGCAGGGGCTTTCCCTGCAATCCAGGGGACTATTTTCATCGACTCTCCTCAAAACGCCACACTAGCAGCCCCCTGGGAGTCCTCTTGTCTTGGCACAAGCCCAAAGCTATTTTGTTAAGGTTCCTCCTTTTTTTTAAAGTCATTGCTGGCTGTAGAAGAGTCTTCAGCAAGATAATTGGATGAGTGCAGTACTTCCAGAGCCAAGTAAACAGACAGTGCAGTAGGTTACTTGGAGCTGCTGAATATTATAATAGATTTAGAAGTGTGATACTCACCAACTGTTTTTTGTGGGTCCCCAGCCTCTTGGCCCCTTGACACAATCACTGTCTGAAGAATGAAAACAAGGGATTTCCCATAGATTTGTTGTTAGCTATGTTAGCAGCAGATCACATTTTTGATCCCAGGATTAGTTTTTATCCTTTTGTATTAAAAGGCCTAGTAAAGCATATAATATATCACAGTACATTGCAAACATATTTACACTGCTTACATTTTCACAAGTTATTTCCTTCTTTCCTTTGTATGTAACAGAAGAAATGCTGAAAGTAGTAACTAATTGTAAAAGTCAAGGAAAAAGATGCATAGCTTTTCCTTTGTTTCACCAAAGACAATTAGAGGTGTTTAATGCATCTGTTTTCAGTCCTCTTTACGCTTTGGTTAAATAAAATCCAGTGCAACCAAATGTGTTCAGACTTGATCTTATTTGTTATTAATTGTACTTCACAAATCTGGCCTTGCTACAAGAGTGACAAACAGCGTTTTAGAAAATTTGAAATAAAAAAACATAGAAAAGAGGGCTGTGGTGACATCAGATTGAAGCAGAGTAATAATCTTGAGGTAAAAATTGGATTGAGGCTCCAATATATATTTAATACTGGCACAGAGACCCACCTTTAACCAGAGCAGTAACCCTAAAAATACAACCAGAGCTACAATTGAGTGGTTTAGATCAAAGCATATTCATTTGTTACATAAATATGACATATATTAAATCCAGGGGGCATGACTTGAAGATTACATCAACTGTAATCTGTCTGAGTTTGAGCTATTTTGCAATGGAGAATCAAAATCAGGTTCACGTCATAGATGTGCAAAGTAAAACGCTTCCTCCTTGTAGCGATAATTCATAGCGTTGATACAAGAGGAGCTAATAAATATATTCCACACAACTTTCAGATTTTTTTATTTATTTTAAAACCCATGTTTCACTTTTATTCCAAAGTAACACTGTATGCAGTCATTTTTTCTGTCTATGACATACAGACCCATATTTAAAAAAAACTCGTTCAAGGTTGTTGCTTTAATACAGGTATGACACTGTATGTGGACAAGTCCGGGTTGTACAGCTACATTTGCAAAGGACTGTGAATGCTGTTTCTAATTCATCTTATCAGACTACTAACAGACTCCTCTGCAAACATGCTTTAGCCTCTTTCTGTGGTAAGGCTTGGTTATGGGTAAAAGTTATTGTGTGATTGCTCTGGATCTCATAATGAAGCATATATCAGAATTAAAACCTCTCAAGAAAGCAATATGACCATTTAACAATTTGTAAAGGAAATCATAACACAGTCTCATAAAGATCTGCAAACCTGTGAAGCAGTGTGTGACCACAGGCCAGACCACAGCTCTGCTTCCAGTCGACCCCCCTGGGATTCACTTTCTCACAACCACACACACAGAGAACCATAGAAATGAACTCACGGCTACAGAAAGGAATGAGGATGAGGCAGAAGTAGGAACTGAAGTTAAGAGTGAAGGTCCAAGGCAGTGACTGAGAATGAGCCAAAACAAGAATAAGACATAAAATCCTGGAGCCATGAGGTTCAGAAAGGGTGCCAGCAGAGTCAATAGGAGGTATTTTTAGTATAGGAACAGGACGTGATTCTCCCCTCTGTCTTTGGACCTCTAGGGGGTCTGGGGATGGGAGTGGGAGTGGGTTATAGCATACTATGTTCCCACCCCAGGATCCGGGGCAGGAAACCTCCCCTGCATTTCTTGGCGGTTCTCGCCGCTACACAGCGAGTGAGTCTGTAATTGGTGTTCCTTGGAACCACAACCCACCCACCCAGTCCCCAGACCATAATACCATAGCTTGACCCATTTTATTTGTTAAAGACCTTTTCTGGTAGTTTTACAAGATAAATTATTGAGATGAGAATTTGATGCGAGATTTCTTGAGAAAGGGTTGTTTGCATTTTGTTGTGTTTATCTAGTGCGAAAGGTCAAGGAAAGCATGTTTATTTCATTGCCCCCATCCATACATGGACCAGTTTGATGTGATCTAATGAGCCCAAATAATTCAAAGAAGCTTTGAAGGCAAAGAAAGCTGTGGGAAAAATAAACCGCTGTGTATTTTTTGGTGATTTAATGTCACTAGACAATACAACACGCCAGTGTGTCCTTTAATCTCACTGTCAGTCCAGTGTTTATGCCAAGGCCTCAGATGACTGTTCAAGAAATTTAGTGACAAAAGACAATCATGAAGAAGACAGCAGGATGAAGCTATACAGATGGTTGAAGCAAGATTCAACTTATAAAACTATATTTTGAGAGTATGGCAACAAGCTAGCAAGACAGGGATGTCTGCCTGAAGTAACAGGAGAGTATTATACGCAAATAAAGGCAAGACATTTATGGCAGCTTTGCACTGCAAAACCCATCTATAAATAAGTCAATAGCCTAAATAAAGTGTATTTACTCTTAATTTGAGTAGGTAACTAAAATGATTTGCCAATGGAATTACTATTTTTACTCTTAAAATAAGATAATAAGACAATATGCACTTAAAATTAGGCAATATAATAGTTTTTTTTTCTTAATCTAGAAGTAAAATGTCTTATTCCATTGGCAAAGTGTCTCACCTCCTCAATTCCAGACAAAATGCACTTATTTTAAGAAGAAATTACATATTTATATTTCAGTTTTTTTTGCATTGTAAAGCTCTCTATACTTACATCCATAGATCCATAATCTGATTCAGGGGACCATATAATCCAACACACATATCTGATCTATAACATTTAAGCTAGAGGAAAGGGAAGTATAAGGCAGATCTGGCCAAAGTTGGCCCTCTAGGGCCACTGTCCGGCAGGTTTCCCTGCTTCAGCACAGCTGATCTCCACTTATGGCTGATTAACATGTTTTTGCTGAACTCAAGGGCCAACTGGGCATCCCTGATGTATGGTATACACCAAACATCAGCGGAAGGTAATACGTTCAAACCTTTGGAAATATCTCAACATGAAAAGTACATCTGACATGCTTTCAATAGTACACAGTGCATAGAAAAGTGTAGCGTGAAGTAGCAATTGATAATCCATAAAAAACAAAACAAAATAAAGAATATACCTTAAGAGAACATTTTTGTTGCAGTTAAAAACTGAAAAAAAAAGTAATATTAGAATTAAGATGTTCAGAAATGGCAATGAACCCAAAAGACTTGTAGCTGTGATTTCAGGGAAACCCTACATCTGTTTAAAACTAAAGCTTTTTTAAGGTGTTATTATTTTCCTTACGCTTAACAAATATGTTCTATTTTCAAATTATGTGAAATATTGTTTATTTATGTAATGAGACCAATAACTAATAGGGTTCAAGGGGTGTGATTACTTTTACGAATTAATCTATACCATCATTTAAAAATATAAAAAGTTTGAAGTTATTTGACTTTACTCTGTTAAGCTGGCAACTGTAGTTTTAAAGCCGATTCGCCATCAGTCTGTAGGGGAGAGTCAGCCCAGTTGGACGTCAAACCAGCTGTTAAATGCCTCCATCATAGCCGTAACTCATCAGTGGCAGCATGCTGTAAGAAAGCATAGATAAAACATGCACCACACTGCTTTTGATGTCGTCTTTGCAGAGTTATTACTTATTTGTAGAAGAAAAAGTGTCAGATTGATTGCATATAACACAGTGTCAACACTTGCAACATTTCAATAAGCCTGGCAAATAGTCACACGACACAAATCCTGGAGACCAAGAGACAGCAGAAAGCAGAGGTCTAGCTAAAAGACTCAACGAATCTCTGAGGGCAAAGAAGAGATTAGAGCAGACAGCTCTGGATAGAGCTCCAGAGCGTGCGCACCATAATTGAATTTCATGCTTGCTGCCTTCTTCTGAAGTCGTGTAGCAAAGCGATCATTTGAAAAGAAAGTTATTAGTGAAGCCCTCTGCTAAGCTGGGAGCTGTGTTGTAGGAAGTGTGGGATTATAGAGGCAGCAGGTTTTAGTGTACTTCGTCAAAACACAAATGTCCCACAATTATTTTTAAGAGAGGGACAGAAAGACTGTAAACGTCTGCATGAAATAAAAACACAACACAAACACAGAAATGTTTTGCAATGTCTGAAAGGCACTCATTTACTACGGTTTATATGGTTTGAAATATATTTATTTATAGATATATAAGAGTTGTTTAAAATGGCATAATACTTCTAAAATTCAAATTATACACTAGGGGTTGATATAGCAAACTTTAAAGATCTTAGTCATATTTGAAGTAAAAACTCCATTCTTTGTGCTGTAAAACCTTTTTGTAGAAGAGACTGAAGTAAATAATAACACACAGTATAAAATTAAGTGCCTATAAAAATTCTTCCCATTTTCTACCTGCAATTTCTCTTTTTCTCGTATTTTTCCATTATCTATCTATCTATCTATCTATCTATCTATCTATCTATCTATCTATCTATCTAAAGACATTTGATATGCGATCAGCTATGAAGTCTGGTAATCTGTAACCAACACACTCACAAAATTAAGTCTGATTGTTTGTAAAGACCCAGTTTATTTTTTGGATTAAGAGAACATGGTTCTCATGCAGCAAAGAAAAAGAGAAAATAAACATTTGAATAGCACATTAATCAAAGACAGCAGCGTTTCTTTTTACTTCCACTGTCCCAGAACCTACAGCAGATAATGCGGCTGCATAGTTGGTTACACACTGATATAAGAAGCATGTTCTTTTTAGAAGCATGTTCTTTTTCTTTTATAAAAAAAAAAAAAACAATCCCTGCTTGATCTAAAAAGCTGGAGAAGTCTATTATTTTCACCTACTGGATCAGCATTGTCCCCAGCAGAGCAGGCCTGTCTCCTCCCCCTTCTTACGCTCTCCGCCGATGCCTGTTTCTGCTGGCAGGTCTATGGGGTTGGGTCGGTGGGCGCTTTCTCATTCCTGGTGATGGCTGGGCCTCCTGGGCCTGTGGGGTTCCCGTCTGGTGGTTCTGATCCTTGGAGCCCTGGGCTCTCATCCGGGTCCACCTCATGTGTGACCTGCGGAGCCTATGGGTGGAACCTCGGACCTAAGGCTTCGAAGGTCGGACCCCT